TGACATTTCCGTGAAGGACTGGAATAGTTTATTTTTGCTGGCCGAAGATCTCTCCGGCCCTCAAATCTCGGCTTTTTAGTTTTGTTGAGACAGCATGTGCTCTCAAATCTCTCAAAATTGAAGGAGATTATTATATTTGTATAGTGTGTGAGATTTTTTGTCACGTAGGATTAATAGTATATGTGATTTTGTTATAGATGTAATAGATTATATATTGAATGAGAGTATCTTCCTTGTCAAATCTCATAATGGAAGAAATACATAACATAACTTTCATTTGGATCTTTTACTAGATTAAAGAAGATGGGATTATAAAATTGGGAATAGGAGCTTAGTGTTTAGTGCATGGATTAGAGGTTATTGGAGAAGTATTTAAGAGTGATTAGGATGTTTTTAGATGAAGATAGTCATGATTGGCGATAGAGCTAGAATGATTGAACTATGATAGTCGGATGTAGGGCTTGGTAATCGAGCGATGATTGATGGCAAATGGTGAATGTACTACAATGGTTGAGTGACTATAGTTAGAAGATGACAATTGATTGACAGTGGACCGAAAATGGCGGTTGCTAGCAAGGATCATCAGCGTTGGATGTCAGGTAAAGGTTTAAGTTCTTTAATTAGAACTCCAAACTTTATTTTTTTCTTTTGGGTCAATTTGAAATTCATGTTCAAGCAACCAATGTGTTAGAGGCCTAAAAAATATAAAAAAGCTGCCCTAAAAAGAATTTAAGGGTGCATTTGGGGCAACGGTAATTTTTTATGAATATGATTATAAAGCTGTTGTAGGCAAATCAATTTTTAGCTACTGTGAATATTATGAATGATTTTCCTTTTATATTTTCAAAAAAGTTGGATATTAACTTTCTTATGGCTACTAAATTCTAGTACATTTTTAGTACATTTGTTTCAAAAAATAGCTATTTATCACAGAACTTTCTTGCAAGCAACTAAAAGGCAGGAGCCAAATGATAGTGTACGGAATTCAATATTTGATTTGACCCGAACTCGGCTCGGAAATTCCGGATTAGGGTAAACCCTTTTGTGAAACAGGTCAAGTTCGGGTTCAACAAGCCGACCCATTTCAAAAATTAGGTCAGGTTGACCTAGAAACCCAAAAATAACCCAGCAAACTGCCCGCTTCGCATCGAGTCGTGTCTCCCTTCGCTGTTGCATTTGCCTGCATTGCTGTCACACGTTGCCCGCTGCCTTGCGGCTGCCGCACCGCTACCTTACAGGATTTGGCTGAATAAGTGCGTGAACAGAGGATCGACGACAGACTTACGGGTCGGGTCGAGTTGACTTGAATCTGAAGTGGGCAGGTTCATGTCTAATGCCGGATCAATTCTGGGTTAGACTCGAACCCGACCTGTGATCCGATTTTGATAGCCCTAATAGTGTGAGAGCACCAAATAGATCCTAAATGTTATTGATAAAAAAAATCTTAAATGTTGTTGATATATTATAGATGTAATTTGTAAAATAATTGTCATAAACTGTCTTCACATTATTCAACCTACAACGATTTATACTGTTATAAATTTGCGTATTATTTTGTATATAACAGTTAAAATTGTAATTTTTTTATTTTAAAAGTAGTTTAATGTTTCGGGCTTTGATTGGGATTGTTGCGTCCTGGTCAGTTTGACTGTAAGCTCGCTGAAATCGGAGTTCATGTGATCCCGGATTTAATTTTTGAAGTTTCCGGCTAGCTTTTTGCCTCAAGATTCGTGCCCGATCAAAATAATTTCAAGATGACGTATCAGGGATGACTTTCATACTGCTTCTTAAAATAACTTTTTTTAACAATATTAACTTTTTATACTAAAAATTTGATTTAAGAACCAGTAAGAAAGTCATCTCAAACAAAACCTCAATTTGCAATGGTTAAAATCTATAAAAAAAAAAAAACCAACTTCCTCGATTAAGTGCTTCTTTTAAAGTGCTTTTAACTGCTGTCATAAAATCATATTCCAATTGTTTAAAAACACCTACAAAAAGTTCTTCCACTAGAAAGTTCCTGTACTTTCTTTTAAGCAGTTTTATAATATTTGTGGAGGTTATTATTGTGACTCATATATCTCTGCCTCATAAGAAATAAAAATATATTTTTTCAATTAAATAGTATTGTTGCTGGCTAGAATATACGATAGAGTTAGTAAATTTCCATCTCAGCGTTGTATGGATATCTAGCACACAAACATGAAAGAAAAATAAACACTAGGATTTTTACGTGGAAAACTCTGGAAAGGGAAAAAACTATGGGACCAGGTCTAGTTGAAATAATTCCACTAGTATTTGTTTGAAGTATAAAAGACTGATTTGTCCTTAAAATTTAGGACAAACAGTTTACAATGCTTCACTTCCGAATTTGAGATCCAATTACAACGTCAAGCAGAGTTCCGGCGTCACTTGGAGATTGAGCAGAATTCTAGCGTCAGGCAGAACTTTGGCATCACTTGAGCGTCGGACAGAACTCCGGCGTCGTTCGAAAGTCCGGCAGAATATCGGCTCGGGCATAACTCTGATGGTAGTCGAGGAGGAGTTATTCCCTTCTATCATTCTCTACTTCTTCTATTCTTCTTGCTTGGGTCCTCTCTCATAAGAAATGAGGGGTCTATTTATAGATTTTCTGGAGTGACATAGCTTGTAAATATGTGTGAGATCAGGGGCAAATAGGTAGTGGTCGAATGGATGGCTGATATTAAATCCCTTGTTCGTGCACCGTTCATCAGACATTTGAAGGTCTTAATGATGTTGGAATTTTGGCGGTCTTGGGCTTGTTGGATTCATCTCGTCGAGCCGCTCGATTCGACTATAAGTTCGTCAAGTTCAGAGATCGTTTGGTAACTCAAATTGTGGTACGAACTTTTCAACAGCACTTCAGGTCCTTGATTTGGCCTCATTTGAGCTCGGATTGAGTTGAATTTGGTGTCTTTGGGCTCGTATTTCCGAGACGCTCAGTTTGACTGTAAGTTCACTTAAATCAGAGTTCATATAATCCCAAATTTAATTTTTGAAGTTTCCAGGTTGATTTTGCCTTGAGATTCGTGTCCGATCGAGATAATTTTTTGATGATATATCAAGTATATAAAAATATTTTTTAGGCTATTAAAAATGAATTTATTCATAATTTTCAAAATAAATTCATTTAATTATTAATTATCTTATGATCAAACACTTAATATAAATTAGAACTTCTGTATTTCATGAAGGTATGAATTTGGATTCTCATGGTCCAATGTCTCCAATCAAATGTCAAATTTCTCAAAAATAAATTAAATGTGTATTCCAAAATCCTTAAAAAAAATTACCTATAAATTAGGCTAAAATCCAGTACTAAAAATAAATTTTGGATCAAAATTAATTCAAATCACCACCAATTCTTAAAAGCCAAACTTTACCTTTATACTAAACAGCGTCTCTTTGGAGCAAAAGCAAAAGCTACAGTTAGAAATGTAAACGGTTAATGTTAACGGTTCACATTTCTAACTTATCTTCTCCTTTTGGGGAGCTGAACCCAAGGGAGAAAAGGTAAGACCAGAATCAAACACTTGGCCCTCAATGATTTGAAAATAGGAGAGAATTATGGGCAGGTGACCTACTTGATTCCTCTGACAAATAAATTTCATGCAGTAGCTCTATAATTAGCCATGAAATTGACGCATATATACGCAACTCATCCTGATTTGTTAGTTGAGAGTTTTGACTATCAATAAAAAATTTTTGAGTTCGAAGCTTACATATCTGATGTGCATGAGCAGAGGCGACCTTTTTAATTCAATTTGCTCATTCAAAAATTGAAAGCCTCCTGACCTCCCGTTATTTTCATTCAATTATGAAAAACTTTTCTAACTCCAACAAAAAAGTATGTGAAAATTGATTATGTGCAAATTAAATTATTTTGGCATCATTATAGATATATTTTAAGGGAAAATTCTATAAGATGGTAGTGAGGCCTGCAATGCTTTATGGTGCCGAATGTTGGCCATTAAAGAGAAACATAATACTAAGTTAAGTGTGACGGAGATGAGGATGCTCAGGTGGATGAGTGGCTTTACCCTTAGAGTTAGGATACGAAATGAACATATACGTGAAAAGATTGGAGTAGCTCTAGCAGAAGATAAGATTAGAGAGAGTCGTCTTAGATGGTTTGGACACATAAAACAGCGGCTTTCCGATGACCCGATTAGGAGAGTAGAGGTATTAGATTTGACTTATGTTAAGAAAGATAGGGATAGACCTAAAAAGACTTGGTTAGAAAATATTAGGAATGACCTGTCTTTATTAGATTTAAACGAGAATTTGGCTTTTAATAGGACACAATGAAGAAAAATGATTCATGTAGCCGACCCCACGTATTGGGATAAAAGCTTGTTGTTGTTGTTGTTGTTGTATATATATTTTTAATTTTTTTATATAAATTTGTCACATGCCAGATTTCAAAAACTATGAGTTTGTTTTAATTGGTCCAAATATATATATATATATATAAGAAATTTCAAATTGACAAACTATAGACAAAGTGAAAAGGATTTTTTGCTTTGATTGTCTTTGAGAAAATCATATACTCAGAATAAAAAATGAATTTTGATATTCTAATTAAAATTTAATTAAAGAATTGCAAAATTTATTAAAATCAATTTTTATATTTTAATTATCTCAAAATTAATTTAAAATTTTAAAATCTATTATAAATGAGTTTTGATTAGAATATGCTTAAACAAACAATTATTTGTATCACTCTCAATATCATTGAGAGCCCCACTACTCTAAAGATAGAGACTGTAATGTGGCTGACTTATAAGAATTTACACTTTTACATAATCTTTTATGCCCACACCCTTTCTCATATATTCTCAGCTCAGAAAGAAAAAAAGAAAAAAAATAAAAAAATAAAAAAAATCTGCTAAGCAACACTCAACTACTCAAATCAACATAGTCAATCAAACATTAGAAGTTAGCAGAAAAGTTACTAACTAAAAAATAACAAATTAAGATTTTTTTTTTTCAAACACAAACAATCATATATTTACTGCTATATTATGAATCCAAAGAGGATAAACTTATACAATTGATACTAATTTATACACATCCAGCAATTCCATATATAAATATCATAATATCCAAATTCACACAGAATTATTTCTGAATTTATTTTAAATAATTCCAGATGCACTCTTCGTAGTTACTCCTCCCAATTTCATTACCTGAGGAGATCTCCGGGTTTATATCACTGGTAAGACCAGTTTCCTGCGAGATGCTTAGCATCTCCTTCTCCAACTTGCATCCCTGCTTCGCTATTAGATCTTCTTCGAGCAAATTCATGAATCCATGACCAGAGAAAGAGTCCGAAGTCGGCGCAAATTTAGAGAAGAGGAAAGAGGAGAACTCAGCAGAGGTGTTGATTGCAGGAGAAGCTGGAAAAGCAGGGTTGAAGAACCTGAAGAGCTCTGAGTCTTGGATTTTTTGACCTTCCATGGCGTTGGAGAAGCAGGTCACGTGAGCTGGAATGTCCATTAATGGCGGGGGAGTTGGAGTTGGATTTGGAAGTTCAACTTCCATCTCTTCTCCATAAGAAAAAGATCCAATTTTTGCCGTTGCTCCGAAAAGCTTCTTCCCGTTTACAATTAAGTTTTTTTTCATAACTCTGCAGATTACCCACTCGCTCTGGCAAAAAAAACATGTAAAAATCAGTTTTTTATTGTATTTTGTTCCTAAAATTAAGCAAGAGAAGAAGAAAAGAAGCACCTTTGAAGCTCCAGGTAAACTGTAAGCTGAATATTTCCCTTCCAATCTAAATTCATGCATGACCCAATTACTCTTCTCACCTCTTGGAGCTCTTCCTCTGTAAAAAACCAATGTTTTCTTCATTCCAACGATCTGTTTACCCCTGTAGATCTCCTTGTCTTTACCTGTAGCCTTCCAGTAACCGGTATCAGTAGCCCGATTTGTTCGAAGACCGGTGGGATACTTTCGATCTCTTATGCAGAAAAAGTACCATTCTTTCTCTCCTAGCTTGGCTCTCTCTGTCAACAAAGTGAAACAGAGTGAGCAGAGAGGAGGAAGAAGAAGAAGGCAGATCGATGTTGAATGCTTACTTGGAAGATCCCATGGCTCGCACTTGTTGAGGTCTGCTACGCCAATGGCTTGTGGGTCGAAGTTGGAGTCGATGACCTTTTTAGAGAGGTAGTGAGTGATTAGTTCCTCATCAGTGGGATGGAATCTGAAACCTGGAGGTAATTCCATCTGGTATTCATCTTCTGTGTTGGTGAAGACAATTCCATGGCTGACAGCTGAATTTCCTTGTTCCATTGCGCTGAAGAAAAATAAAGAGATTTAGATTTTGTTGGTACAAAAACAACAAGCTTGATAACTGGAAAGAGATTAAACCAACATCAGTGTGAGAACAAGAGGTCTGATATAAGATGAGAAGTTAATATAAAGACCCACCATTAGATAAGGAATTATAATAGTTTGACGGAGAAGAAGGAGAAGCTGGAGGAGGAGCCGGAGAAGAAGAAGATGTTATTGGGTGGTTGCTTGAAACAGATGATAGAAAGATATATTGAGAGAGAGAGAGAGAGAGAGAGAGAAGGCAGGGGATGCTCTGAATCCTGCTTCAGGGATTTGGATAGGCAAACCTTTTGCTCGTTCAGGAGGTAGAAGCCGTTAAGGAAAAGAACCCTGGGATGGGATGAGCCTCTACTTAAAGCCAAAAAAAATAATAATAAAAATAAAAAGCAAAATTTTAGCTTAAAAAAAAAAAAAAAGAAGCAAAATTTTAGATCCAGAAGTGGGTAAATTTATGTCGAATTTATCATTTTTTTTATTACATTGTGAATTTTCTTTTTTATTTTAAAACGGAATAATAATTGAAAATACTTTTATTTAGACAAAATTTGTAGTGATTAAGTTGGCATCCAGTTTAAGGAATAAGTAGATATTAATCTGATTTGAGCTCAACTTGAGTCACTTATACGTGAATGCATGAGATATATCACCAAAAAATTATATCTATTAGGCACGTATCTTGAGGCAAAATCAAGTGGGAAAATTTCAAAATTAAAATCAAAATGAATATTTTGAAAATATGAACCCAACGGTATCAAATTCGACACAATACGAGCTCCAATTGGTCTAAATCAAAGACTCAGAATGTCTTTGGAAGGTTCAAACAATACTTTGGATGACTAAATGGTTTCCAAACGTGACATGCTTATAGATGAATCGAGCGGATCAACGAGACATATAAATTACATGCTTATAGTTGAATTTTAATATAGTTGAATTTATTATATGGTATAATACATGATAAATTAACACATATAAATTACCTTGTCTAACCTATTAAAACATCATGCAATAAATAAAAAAGCTTAAGCCAATGATGTGATAAATTACAACTTCTGTAGAGTAAAAAATTATAATTTTATTTTGTAATTAATTTAAAACATAAGATTTATAGATAAAAAAGCTAAGCAAGTAACCAAAACACTAATTTTTGTGATAATTTTAGATGCTTCCATCACTTCGGAGTGAAAGAAATCCACCCAAAATTTCAAAATTTGAGGTAAAATAAAAAAAAAGGAAATTCACAATGTAATAATAAAAAAAAGTTAAATTCGACCTAAATTTACCCATTTCTGGAGCTACAATTTTGACTTTTTTTTTAAACCTAAAATTTTGTTTCATCCCATCCCAGGGTTCTTTTCCTTAACGGCTTCTCCTTCTTCTCCGTCAAATTATTATAATTCCTTATCTAATGGTGGGTCTTTATATTAACTTCTTATCTTATATCACCGATGTTGGTTTAATCTCATTCCATTATCAAGCTTGTTTTTGTGCCAACAAAATCTAAATCTCTTTATTTTCCTTCAGCACAATGGAACAAGGGAATTCATCTGTCAGCCATGGAATTGTCTTCACCAGCACAGAAGATGAATACCAGATGGAATTATCTCCAGGTTTCATATTCCATCCCACCGATGAAGAACTAATCACTCACCACCTCTCTAAAAAGGTCTTCGACTCCAACTTCGACCCACAAGCCATTGGCGTAGCAGACCTCAACAAGTGAGAGCCATGGGATTTTCCAAGTAAGCATTCAATATCGATCTTCCTTCTTCTTCCTCCTCCTCTCTGCTCACTCTGTTTCACTTTGTTGACAGAGAGAGCCAAGCTAGGAGAGAAAGAATGGTACTTTTTCTGCATAAGAGATCGAAAGTATCCCACCGGTCTTTGAACAAATCGAGCAACTGTTACTGGTTACTGGAAGGCTAGAGGTAAAGACAAGGAGATCTACAGGGGGAAACAGATGATTAATGAGGAACATTGAAAGTTTGGTTGTGTTGATATGAGGGGATAGCAAATGATTGACATTAATGGCTAACATTTCTCAAAAATAAGCCATTGATAGGTGAAAATAAGAGGCTCATCTATGATGGCCAGATGTTAAATATTAGTTATTAACATTATCATTCTTTTGACATAAAGGGAGATTGAGTGACAAAGAAAATAAGCATTAAACATTTATGCCATAATAGGAGTCAATGTTATTCCTTGGCAAGCTTTCATCATTGGTCAATAAGTAATGTTGGAACTTGAGGGATGGTTGATGGTCAGCTCGATCATTCTTTTGATGGAAGTGAGATCGAGAAATCAGAAAGATGGACGTTAAGCATTGCTAGTGTAAGTCAAAATATGGCCCAAGTTTAGAAAGGGACTCATGGCTTTTAGGACTCTAATATACCGAGTAGAAAAGAGTAGCCAACCTTGTTGACCTACTGAAGGCCAATGATGTGGGCTTTTCGGGATCAAAATATTGACCTCTTAGAGCTACAAATGGAAGTAGTTGGATCGAGGAGTCACCACTATCCTTTTCTATGTTTGCCCAAAATTGCTTAGTTTGGTAGATTTGGGGGACTTCAATGAAGTTGAATTAATATAAATTTAGTGGAATTAATTAATTCAACCTAATAAGCATGATTAGGTGGAGTATTTATGTTATATGGAGCTTTTTATCTTATATTATATTTTATTCTTCCTTCTCTTATAATTAAATATCAATTTGATTCGTCAAAATTATATCATATGTATGTATGACCAAACTAGTGCTCAATAAGATGTAAAATTTCATGATCTCAACATCATCATCATCATCATTATTTGTCAACATTAAAATTTAAAGAAGTTAAACACGCCCCTACTATACATTTGGACTAATTTCTTTTTCTTTCATTTTTTGTTCAAGTCAATTAGTAATTTTCAATTGTCTTACCCCTTCTACCAGCTTGCAACATTTAATAGAACATTATCATGTTTGTGATCAGATTCCAAATTAATTTAAATCCTTAATCTGTCAAGCTAATATAGTTTTTGAAGTCTAGCTATGTCCTTGTTTGATTAACTATAATGAAACACTATTTCACCTAAGAGTATCTAGGCCAATTAATTGAACTCATACCTTGATCATGCAAGAGGTTAAACAAACATGATTGATTCAAGGTTTGTGCTTTATTAATATAAACTTTAATAATTTGGCATCCATCTCCTGAAAATGCACTATAATATAATGCAATTTATTCAGCTCTATATGTAAAATAATTTATCTCCAAATCATGATTAAGTTATGAAAATTTCTATACAAAATCACATCACTCAGGGTGTAGGATCATGTGGCAAATTTTTTATGCTACACTTTCTAAGTAAATAGAATGAATCTAACAATTGAAGAGTTGAGTATGTATGCATATAAGCTCATCTTAATTATGTTCGTTCGAAGCTCTAAGAAGCTTAAATATGAAAGTGAGTAGATAAATGATGTTAACTTAGGTCGTTGTACTTAGATTCAGAACATAAAAAGTACTCTTGGTCTTCGAAAGTATGCTGTTGAAGATAAACATATAACGACAACGTTAACGACAAGACATATTCTATACTCATGATGCATGAAATTTTGATTTTATACCTTCTAGAAAATTTGAAAGTTTGAAGAGCCTTCAAATCAAATGATTGAAGTAGGTGAAATGTAGCCTTTAGGAAGCTTGCCAAGATTACCACTGTTTGATTCAACCTTGCACTAATCATGCATGGAATCAAAACATGACATGTAATACTCAGGATTTGTGCATCTTAATACAGTGAATTAGATGATAATCCCTATAGATCAATTAACTTAATTAATTTAATGAATCAAATTAAACTTAATCATTTCATATATTCAATGCCATTCTCCTTAAAAAAAAAAAGATTTGGGTATTGTTTGAGACAACTTTCTAATTACTTCTTTATAGGCCGCAATCATCATTTCTATTTGACCGCTACTTTTTCACTGCTTTCAAAAAAAGTTGTACGAAAAAGCTGCTTTCTATAATAGTTTTAAAAAATCATTTTTTTTTATTAAACAGCTTTATAAAACAATAAAAAAACTATCCCAAACAAAAGATTGGTCCGATACACTGTTCATCTTAATGGTATGATTCATTCATTCAAAGATATTATTCATTTTAGCAATTATTTACTGATAAAAAATCTTCTTCTCTGAAAAGTTGATATATATAATTGAGTTATGATTCAAAGTGCCTTATCATCATTTCAAGACAAAAGATTAGCAAGCAAGGAAAGCAATAAGAATAAATTTAAATTTTCTCCAATTTTGAGTGCATATTATAATTCCATTTATGTTCATAAATTATTAGTATGCAAAGCAAAATCATAAACTACTAGTATCTATATATGTTGATGGGCCAACACAAATTATTCATGAATTAAGTATGCATGCCATATAGCTGATACTGACATTATTTTTTTTCTGTGGTTTAGAAACATTATCATTGGAAAAATGAGGATAAGATTGATTTTGAATATTTTTAGCTGTAAATTTAGTGATGTTAAAAATAAAAAAATATCAGACATTTATTGAGAAAAAATTTACTGAAAATATTTTAATTTAAATTTAATCAAGTTGAATTTATAATCATTGAATTTTATTTTGAGATTATTGTAACACAATAATTAATTAATTACTTAATTGTGTATTGCATTGAAACTAAATTATATTACTATAAAATATGTCATAATTAAATTTTGGATCAGAATATTCTAACTCAAATTTATTCAAAAAAATAATTTTCCTACTTGATGTTGACATATCTTCTTAAGGATTGCACCAATTTACATACTATTCTTTGATCTAATTTTAGGGAATATTGTGCTTTCAATTTTAGTATATTTTTATTGGTTGATTTATGCAGCTATAAATCTTCAACACTCTCGAAATCCTCTCTTATTTATAAGTTATCTTTTACTTTTATATTTTTTGTCCATCACACTAATGGATCTTTTGTCAAATAAAATATTCTCAATATGCATCAAATCTGAATTATATCAATTAAATTTATCCTCCATTAATGTAGATAATTGAAAACACTCATTAAGTTATGATTGACATTATGATGTGGAATTATACTATCTGTCAATGTTAGCGAGTTGATAATTTTTGGAATTATGGTAATTCATTGTTATATTTGATCTCCGCTCAATCTTGTTAGGGGCATTGGTTTCTCAATCCTATTCTTTAAAAAAAAAAAATA